TACGTCATCACAACAACACGTTAGGTTACCAAACTTATTGGTGCATTTGTTGTTGTTGAAGGCCTGGCTGTTACAGTCTTTATTAGGGATGCACCGAATATTCGGCCACCGAAAATTATTGGCCGAAAATGGTTAAAAAGGCCCTTTCGGCTTTCGGCTTTATTTACACTATTTTGTTGTAGGCCTACTGGCCTAGATGTTTAGGCAGTTTTAAAGCACCTTGGCTTTGTTCTGAATGCACTTTGTTGTAGTTATCCTACAGAGAAAAGAAAATGCACTTGACTTGGAATTAATGTACTGTATGCATTCAAAAGTGCTGAATAAATGTTTTATGGACCCATAATAGTGAAGTTAAGTTAAATTAAGTTAAGTTNAACATAAAACCCTGTCTTCATTTACATGTATCCTTTTTTCAAATATTTAAAAGAATATGTACGGAAGCCCAAAGATGCAAATGAGAAAAAAAGTATTTTTTCTTTCCTGTATTAAAAAAATCTAGGATAATGTTTCCTAGGTTAAAAATGTTTTGAAAATGTTTCTTGACAAAATAAATTAAATTCACCTGGCAAAACTTTTCACAGAAAATAGTAAACAACAACAAAGAAAAAATATCCTACTGATAAATGTTATTCCCTACCTGTTTTACAGATAGAGAAAGATACTTTTTTATGAATTTAGAAAGGTTATCACGGCAAAACATTTGTTTTCCCTTTTTGTTTCTCAGGGCTTCCGTAGATAATGGATTGTAAGAATGAAAAGCAACACAGATCCCAGATGGGTCACTGTATGTTACATCTTCTTCATTAGCCCAACAAATAGTACTGTTGTGTTTCATACTGTATATCTCACATAGCTTTTTTGTAAAAGTTCAATCACAAGTCACTTTGATTGACAGACAGGGCAGTGTGGCTCTCCCACAGAATAGGCATCTTTCTCCTTCTCTTTCCTCCTTTGTCTCAAACGATACACTTGTTACAATAATTCTAACCCCACACTTTCAGGATATGTCGAACATAAAGGATGCATTCTTATATATATCCTTGTTGTATCAGTGTAGGATCTAGGGCTCTGACGGAGCCCTTGTTCTCGCTCTGCCACCTCTCCGTGGTGTTAAGGTTCGCAGGATTCAGTGGTCCGTCCCTCTGGCCTGGAGAGTGTGCTGGAGGGAGCTCCAACTTCAGGGTGCAACACGGCCGCCCCCTGCTGAGCCCCCGGGCTCGCCTTCTGGTCAGCCAAAGGACTGGTCACGCCCATATTGGACAGGGCATCCAGGGTGCCATCAGGGTCCACCATCATGTCAATTACTGTCCAAAAAGAAACGTTTGAAATATAATCAATAATATGCTTACTTTTAAAAGAATGATTCAACAAAAAAAGGATGGTTTTGTATATAAATAACTGGCCTTCTGTTACAAAAACTGACCAGTAATATACCAACTTCTTCCCAACAAATATATTTTCACTAAACCTTACTTTTAAAACATATCAATTTTGCTGTTGTCTAATCCCAGTCTAACTAAATTCATCAAACTCACTTTTTAGATTCTTCGTTCTCTATGGGGGCATGCAATCATTTCTTTTCTCTTGGAAACACAGTAACTGTATCTTGTAATTTTGTTGGCATAGTATTCCTTTAACACAGTACAAAATACACTTGTAATTTGACGTGGCAGTGTAATAAATACTACAGGAAAGCATCACATCCATACCGAGCATTTGTCTTTCCACTCTCCTCAGGTCTTGAATGATGGTTGAAAGCTCCTGTTAAGTGGAAATAAAGAAAAGCTTTTAATTGGTTGATGTGATTTAATAAGTGAAAGTTCATACACAAAGTAAATCAACTCCATTCATCTGCTCGACACTGCAGGAATAGGTTTGGAGCCGTGCCGTGTATTCGCTCAGTAATGCTTTATGAGCAATGTGACTGTTAGGTGGATAGACATATCTCTTCAGGGGTTCACATGAGGACAGGCTTGTATGATTTATGACCCTGCCCTCGAGAGAGGTGTGAGATTTGTAGACTCTAACTTTTTGCTACTGCTACAGCCTGTAATTATTTTTTCTGTATCAAAATAAACAACCATATTTTGTGTGCTACAAAAAAAGTTTTGCATGATTATCTAAATGGCATGTGTGTGTCTGTCTTTGATTTGATCCTCCAGAAAAGCTGTTATACTGTCACTGTGACTGCTTCAGTAAGTAATCAGATATTGTACTGTGTATGACTGCAAAGGAAACAGAAAGAGTGGAGTTAAACTGTTTAGCAATAATATCACCATTTCAAAAGCTAATGGATAACAAAAAAACATAAGCAATATCCATAGCAAAGTTATTCATTAGAGTAGCTTTTTCAAATTACATTTCACTCTCTTCTTGTAATAATTTATGCTCAACTAGTGCCAAAAAGAAAACACTCTGCTGATTACACTCCCCTGAAATGTGTCTGTCTGATGAATGTATCATAATGCCTCACAGTCAAACCACAAATTGCACTTCTTCCCACTTGCAGACATTTTGGATGTGCAGATATTTTTCGTATAAAGTTACCTGTGTTAACTGTTACTTGTGCCACTTTTTTGTGTTCTTCACCAAAAATATGTATCACACGCTATCTAATGTGTATCCATGCAGAAACATAATTACACTTTTTCTGTGACCCTTTTCTAAAGAGCTATTGCCAGCCAGTTAATATAAAATTATGGCAACCTTTAATATGTGCAGTAGTTTCTCTGTTTAATGTTATATCATAAATACATAGTTATACATAGCATACATTCAGATTTGAGTTATGATTTCAATCTATGGAAGCCCTTAGAGGTGAGTCAGCACAAAATGTTATGCAAGGATAATCCATCTTGAATATTTTTTGAGAAAAAAAATCTGTTTTGACAAACACACAGTAAAACATTCACCCATTTTGATATTTCATAAATGATAAAAAGTGTATAAAATACATTTTAGGGGAAGCATTTTGGTATGCTAACGTTAGCATGCTGACATGGTTACAAAAAATATGTAAACTTCCTGATTTAGTAGGTACATTTTTTCTAGCATGTTCACCATTTTGGTTTTGTGGTAGCATGCAAACTTTTTTTTATTAGCAATGTATCCCAAGTACAGCTGAGGCTGATAGAAATGTCATGACTTTTGTAGAAACCAATATAAAACGACAAAATGAAATGTTGTCCTGCTGATGCTAGAGGAAAGGTTGAAGGATCACTGTTGTGATTAAAATTCAACCTGAGGGAAGCATTAACGTCTGAACCTAATTTTATGGCCATCCAATAGAGGTATTTCAGTCTGGTAAAAGTTGGACTGAAAGGTATTGCCATCTCTAAAGGCAAACTGCTACGTGCCTAGAAGTATTACTGTCCTGCATAGTTCCCCAGCCTTCAGCAAATAAAACAGACATTGTTTGAGGGAACATCACCTTGTTGGAGCTCTTGAGTAGTAAGGAGTCGCGCTCTTCCTGCAGTTTGTTCTCAATCTCTTCCCATTTTCTTTCTTTATCCTTGAAGAGGATCCTGGAGGCCAAGTTGGTATGGAAATAGATGAAAGTAAAATACATGAATATGTTAAATGTACTTCTTTATATAAGTATGAGTTGACTGTTTCAATCATTGTCTGTGTATTGTAGGAATGAAAGAAGGCCTTTGAGTTGTCTCCCTTTGAGTTGTTATAATGAGACATGTAGCCGGTTGTCAGAGTAAACCTTTGTGATGTGCCACTCAAACAGATTGCTTGGCCTAGTTCCAACATCAAACACAGACAAGATCTTAACACCTGATTTAAAGGGTTTCTATTTTAACAATCCTTTTCTGCACGTGTGAATTTGTAAGAACAATTTTATCATTAAAACCAGATTTAAATTCACAACTTCAACTCTAATTCAGTAGTTCATCAACATGAAAAATACATTTAATAATAAAGAATGCATTTTCATGCAAATATTGCAAGAAATGTAAGTGTTAAACCACTTTAATGTAGTTTTCTCCTCTGTCCTTGTATGGCATATTCAATTGAATGTCTTTATGCCTTGGACTGACAAAACAAGACATTTGAGGACAGCACCTTGGATTTTGAGAAACTAAGAAACTTTTCATATGTTTCATTATCTTGCCTTGATTTTATAGACCAAATGATAATTAAATTATCTATAAAATAGTCATCAAATTAAACCATGATAAAAACAATTGTTAGTCGCAGACCCTATACACAAAAACAGATTTTAAGCGACAATCTTGATTTCCAATTAATCCAGCATTTGACCGTTGTAATCCCAAATGTAGAAACCATTAAACCGTAACAAAAATTTTCTTTTTTCTTTTCACAAATGTCTGTATATTTATTTAATGTACCTTATTTTGTAGGCTGTTTTATCAACAGACTGACGTATTCTCGCTGAAAGCTGAGAGACCGATGTTAGTAGTAAACTGTCCAGCACCGACTGAAACATGATGAAAAAAAACAATACATTTTTAACAAAGGCAAACGATCAAAGCAGATAAAGCAAGAAATATAAAGCAGTCTTTTAAATGATTTTGCTAAATTGAACCTAATTTTATTTATTACTTATCATGCGTTCTGCAAAGTATTCTTTCTCATTGGCTAAACTAGTAGCTTTTGGTCCAGTTTTAAGCAGATATTTGTTCAAGGGTATCTGCTGTTGGAGATATGGAGCTCCCTCTAGTGGCATGCTGTGGTACAGAGTGACTTTATTGTTCTGCAACACAATTCTGTACCAACCATAAAGTATGCTCGAAAAGTAAATAGGCGTTGAGGTGGAAATATAGTTAATGTTTACATTTTCCGACAGCCGATTTCACAGTAACACATTTTGTACATTAAATTCCAATGTTTCTCCATACTTGAAATACAGATTTGAATGAGAAAATCTGTGATAATTCAAACTCTTCGATATCCCTATGTCATGCAGATTGCCTCACAGCAGAATTTTGTTTTATATCAAAAGAGCGACTCACGTCATCTCTATTCCATGTCTGTCTGCGGATGGAGCGTGAGCTCTGTCCACCAGAGCCTCGGGGTCGAAGCTCCACAGAGCGCCCGTTGGTTCCCACAATGCCGCTGTGCTCTGCAGAAGCACCACTCTGATCCAAGCTGTCATCAAACACACGCTCCTCCATCTGTGCAGCAGAAATGTAATACAAATCTTGATATTTTTGTAGTTATATAATCAGATAGAAATAATTGCATACAGTTTTGACTACCATAGCTCCAGGGTCGGTGGCTGCAGGGCTGACTGAGTCGATCTCTCCGGCCACATCATGAATTTCTCTGGCAAGCATGGCGAGGTCTTTGGCTAGGTCCTGGCTGATCCTGATGAATAATCACAAACTTGAAATCCCCATTGTTCAAATTGTTCAATTTCAGTGTTCAAAGTTTTTATTGTCATATGCACATAGCAACAGTGTAGACATGGCATTACATTCTTCTGACCTGAGCTCCTCCAACAACACAACATATATAATAAAATACAAAATAAAAAAGAGTGCAAAAAGTCTATATACATGTAAATAGAATATGATATGTGCAAGAACAAAATACAAAATTAATAAATTAAAAGTGATACCTTTTTATATCAGATCGCACGGAAATTAATTATTTTCAATATCGACAAAATCAAATCAAATAACAACAAGTAATAACAGGAATAACTTGGAGCAGAAGAATCATGTTTTAAAAATGTTATCATGACTCATCACTGTTCCCTTACTACTCTGGAGTACTTCTCACTCCCACCCACGTACCTGGCTATTTCCTCGCTGTGTGCTGTCCAGTCTCTCATATACTCGTCCTGCTCCTTGGACTGCTGCCTCAGAGCAGACAGACCTGTAGGACTAGGAGTGGCGGGGGCGGAGCCTCCTAGCTGGGCTACCCGAGTGGAAGGGAATGGCCGTGTTTGGCTCTGCTTGGAAAGGTGCCGGTTGGAGCCATACTCGTCCTCTGAGGTGGAAGCATAATCCACAGGCACGCGGCGCCACCGAGTGCCAGCTAATGTTTGGATAGAGCGGAAGTTTAGTTTAGACGGGGCTTCAAATGTGCTGTAAATGCAACAGTCAGGTTTATAAGGCAAACATGTAAGCATACAGTCGCCTATCCACGCACTGAGCAACGTTAGCATTCATTAAGAGTTTCTGGCAAACTGACAAATCCGATATTCGCTCTTCTTTTTGCTCTGTTTTGATCTCCAACTCCTGAGAAAAAATATCTGGCCCTTTTAGATATACAATGTTTCCCAACTACTCAGCAGTGTACAGTGTTTTATTGAAAGATTTATACAAAAACTGTAAACTACTAAGATCAGACTTATATAAAATATTTTCTCATTTCCCTCTCAGGGCTTCGAGACAGATTATTAGATGTATTCGACGTCTTATTTAGACAGTAAAAGCATCAGATAAAACGATTTCATATGGAAATATTAACATTACTACTTACAAGCAGGTGGGATGTGTCCATAGGAAGCGGTCCCTCTATTCTTATCAGGTAGCTTGGAGGCGCTGTTAGCCCGAGCCCTGGGTCCAGACACTGAGCTCAAATTGGACCCTCTGAGTCCTTGTCTGATGGAGTAATCCCCTGCTACACTCCGGGATCCTAGACCTCTGCCCCTTGTCACTGTGGCCTCTGAGTCGCTCTGGGCTGACGGGGAGCCCACTCTCTGCCTCCTAGGCTGTGCCAGAGCCTCTATCCTGGACATTCCCCTTCTTGCCATCCCTGTCCTGGATGTGGAACTCGCTGTGGAGGCCTCAGAAGCTACCGACATCCGGTCGAAATCAGCAGGTTCGGTGTCTGAGGAATCCCCATGCCGGGATCGCCTCAGCAGGGACGCCCTGGTGGGCCTCGGCTTGGGACCACTGGTGTTTTTACTGGCTGCAGAAGAGGCTGGGGCCTGGCTGACCTTAGCCCGACTAGCCTTGGTGCTAGCCCCCACTGTTTTGCTCCCAGTCGGGGCTCTGGTAGTAGAGCTTTTAGATTCCTGTGTGTTGGGCAGGGAGTCGGAGAGGAGCGAGTTGGTATTGACATCATCGTCCGTGAGGTCCAGGGAGGCCCAGGGGCGACTAGCCTTCGGAGGTGCAGGTGCCCTGGCCTTGACCCTCCTGTCCTGGGTCTCTCGGCCCCCGACGGGGCCTTTGCCAGATGAGCACACCATTGTTCTCTCCCTCTGCTGTCCTGCTAAAATCCGCCGTTTCTGGATCACTTTTCTCGCTCCTTCGGCCTGGCTTACTGTGCTGGTCGTGTCAACGTCTGACTCTGGTGACAAGGAGCCTTCGATGGACTGACTTGGTGGATCACCTTGGTCTGACACAGTCGCCTCTAAAAAGGCGGCCACAGCTTCTGAGTCTTTCTGCAGCAATGTGTTCTCAAGGCCGACCTCCCTGATCTGAGTTCTGCTGCCTGTGAGTGCTTGGATACGAGGTCGGAGCTCAATGGAGGGGTTGGAACTCGGTTTATCCACAGTAAAACTCTCCTGCCTAAACAATGGTTTGCCACTACTTTCCCTGGCCTTTTCCTCTTCCTTTTTCCTCTTCCGTGCCTCCTCCATTCTCTTCTCCCCACCGGTTAATGGACGAGGGGGGAGCATTGCCAACACACCTGACTGGCCTGATCTCCCACCAGCGCTGTCCTGTGACTTGGCTGGAGAGGAGCGACTGGGGCTGCCACCGTGACTGCCCACTCCACCAGGGCGGTGACCTGGTCGATTCCTTCCCCGGGACATTTTCTCCTCATTGCTCTCCTTCTCCTGTAGCTCTGTGTCCTGTTTCTCCCCCATATCCGTACGAAGGCCCGCGCCAGGGGTCCTCCTTCCCAGCACCAGCTCCTCACCTGGCAGCTGGGGCAGGGTTCTCCTCTTACGCTCTGTGTAGCCAGACGAGGCAAAGGAGGCCGAGTGGCTGGACTCACTTATTTCAGCTGAGAGACAGAAAACACTTTTATTAGTAAAGAGGATTCTTGGAAAGATGGGAATTACATATCAATGGTGGGGGGTATGCTAGAAGAAAAGATGCATTGGCTCCAAGAGTTTGATTCAACTGTTGTTTTCTACCAAATTCAACAGAATCTTCATGTTCTTCATACTTTAAAGGGGACATATTATGAAAAACGAAAACAGTGATTATGCAAATATATTAATGGGATATGGAGTGCCCACTAACACACAATATGTGAAATAAAACCACCCAGTTGTGGGTTGTGGGTGGTGCCTTGATAACAAAAAAAGCTCTTTACATTATACCGCTCCTATCCTTATCAATTGCTAGAACTAACCTTTTTGCCACAAACCAATCAGAGCAGATTTTGCCTTTTTCCATTTTCCATTCAAGGCTTTATTGTCATTTGCACAGTAGCAACAATGTAGATATGGCAAAGAAAAACTTAAGTCAGGCTCCTCCAACAGTGCAACATGAATATATATTGGACATAAAACAAATAAAACAGATACAACAGTGCAAGAGGAGAGGAGCCAAAGACACGGCAGCCATCATCACCGGCGCCATCTTCATTTCTTTATCTTTTTTGTGAGGTTGGCTTACAGAGACAGGCGCTAAAACGGAGCGTTTCATACCACGGGTCAATTAATGTCAGATAGACAGTACAAGAAAAAAAAAAACGTGTTACTTTAACAGTAAGCATCATCTTCTAGTAAAACCCAAAATACAAGTATGAACGTGAAAATGAGCACTAGATGTATCCTTTAATGAATTGTCTGGAAATCTTTGATTTATAATGCTTAACAATGTATGTTTTTAAGTGTGTGTTTGATCCATTAGCGGTGGGTTAAAGACACACACACACACACACGTAACTTCAATTTAAAATAAGTTGACAAACTGAATTATTTCTGTCTTATCCATTTAGATTTTAGATAAGTACCTCTGTCCTCTGTGGCCATGATGTGACTCTCCCCTCCGGATCCCTCAGGGTCTGTCCTGATGTGACTGGCAGCCAGAGTAGCCCACTGCGAGACCCAGCGAGGACCGCCCACCATCAGTTCCTCAGACAGTACCTGTACAGCATGAAAGATACACGAGAATAATTATTATAATTCACTGTGTTTGGAGACATGACAACTTTTTCGGTTGAATTTGAAAGCTTTCAGTTGTTGCACCTCTGTCTCCATGCGTCCATGCTTCCCTCTGTCTCCACCAGACCTCTGGGAGGTGAGCCCCTCTCTTTGGTCAGCACCCCCCAGCCTGGACACACACACACCCTCCTGCTCATCCACACCAAACACCTGCAACATACACACATGAAAAGTTCAGAAAGTGTATGCCCAGTGTTATTGTATATTTGAATATGCAAATTCAGCGTTTCCTTAGGTGTTGTAAGGGTCAACATTTTTTCACAGAGCGTAATAAATCCAAAAATCTACAAATATTGTCAATAGCCCAAAACAAATTTCAATCTATTTTTGCAATGTTTTTTGGAGAATAATATTTTACAAAGTATTAGAAATGAAACGTATCATAAGAATATCGAGAATATATGTTGTAAAATGTATTTTGCAAGACACTTCAGATGTATTGGGTAAAGAAAATACCTTGTTGATATTAAAATTCCCCAGCTGATTTCTCACATTAACACGTTAATCATTTGTATTACAAGTGTTCTGAAAATGTATGTTTATTTAATTTAATTAATGTTAGCAAATATCATCTAACGCTAATTTTGGTTAATTTAGGATAAATCTAAAGACACAAATAAGATAGTCATTAAAATAAAAACCTAAACCAGTATCCTGACCCTTTCTTTTCACCTTGTCTATCATTTTCCTTGCCTCTTCCTCTTCCTGATCTCCATTCTCCAGCTCAATGGTATAGGTCCCCCTGTCACTGTAGTCATCTCCATGGTGATAGCCCTCATCGCGTCCGCCCTGCTGATGTGTTGCCTCTACGCGTCGCCTCTCTACGAATCCACACGCCGCTTTAGAAATTGAAGACTTGCGACGGCGAGCCGGACTGTCCTCCTCTGCGAAGAGCCCCTCCGGTACGTTAGCTCGACCTTCTCTGATCTTCATCCCGCCCCAAAGCCCCCACGAGCGCTCCTCCATTGTTGTGGCCCTGCCTTTGCCTCCTAGTGCGTTCTCTGAGTCACTCTGTGTACCGTCCTCATGTTTACTGCCTGGCATGGGAGGGGTAAAGAAGGTTATGGGACGAAATGTAAAGGAGGGTAAAAAAGAGGCTTAGGCTGAATTATTATATTGTAGACACATGGCAAATGGCAGAGATGGCAAAAGTACACACATCCTTTACTCAAATAGAAGTACAGATACTCATGTTTAAAAATACTCTGGTAAAAGTAGAAGTACTGACTAAACTTCTTTACTCAAGTAAAAGTAAGTAACTACTATCTGTTTTTTTAGAGTAACTGGCCTCCCTTTATATTAATAGAACAATAATGTTATTGTTAGCAAATGAATGTTTCGATGCTGAACAACGTTTTTATTTTTTCATTGGTTGCTCTTGTTTAGAGAAGACCAGGAAATGATGGATACACGGATCGTGTTAAAATACACATGCACGCAATGACTAATATATAAATAATAATGATCATGCCACCAAACACAAATTAAAACTAAAGTAATGAACCTGTTATGCAAATGTAAGAAGTAAAAGTAAAAAGTCGTGGAGTAAATGACTGATACCAGAAAAATTTACTTAAGTACAGTAACAAAGTATTTGTACTCCACTACTTCCCACCTCGGCCAAATGGCTGCCCATACCCACCTTTGAGGCTCTTCAGTTGCACAGGCACATCACTCTTCACACTTTCCCCATCCTCCTCTGCAACCGTTTCTTTAAGAGCCAATGGCAGCTCGTTTTGGGCCAGCCAGTCAGCGACCTTGACCTCTGCAGCCACCATGGCGGTCTGAAGTGGACTCAGCTCCTCCCCGACATCCCTTTTGGGTCGGGGCCTGGTCTCCGGTCCTACCTTCGCAACCCGATCTTTGGTGCTCATTTTACCTGCTGCCATGGGGTCAAAGTCAATGGTGAAGGAGGCGTGGCCATGGCCTGGATCTGCGGCAGAAGAAGCATCTTGATCTCGTGAGGGGGCTTCACCACTCACTTTACCTGCCGAGGCAGTGTCCTTGGTTGGGATCTCAAAGTAGCTGGGCTCCTGATTAGAAACTGCTTGTGGGGCCGATTTTGGGGCCTCTGCACTCTTCTTGGTGTCTGACCGAAATAAAGAGGATATATAAGGGATGTTTAGCACTGCTAAGGGAATAAACTAAAGATTCATCCATTAAAGGAAGACTTAAAGGAGCGTAAAATAGAGATATTTCAACACATTTTATCGTTTGGTTTTAGAGTTATTTAAACACCTGTTTCAGCTTTCTCTCGCTTCCGATCTGAGGTCTTCTCCTCTGGCCTGCCTGGTTGCCGGTTCTTAGCTTCTTCATCTCCCCACCAGGCAGGCTGGCCATAGAGAGGCGTGATTTTGTGTAACACTGAGACGTCCCCTGGCAAAAGAAACACATCAGTTGAATGATGGAATGAGATGGCTACATTTTACACAACTAAAACATTTAATACAGATTTAAAGGGCTCCTATTATGCCCATCTTCACGTTTCCTATTTGTATTGTGTGCCTCTACTGGGACATGTTAACATGCTTTAAAGTTCAAAAAGGTCTTTATTTTCCTCATACTGCCTGTGCTGCAGCAACTCTTTTAACCCTTTGTCTGAAACCAGAGCCCAGTCTGCTCTGATTGGTTAACTGGCAGGTTCTGTTGTGATTGGTCAACCGCTTAGAAATGTCCTGCTCCCGCCCCTTAGCCTATCACGTACAATGTGTTGGAGCGCTAGCCAATTGAAGCACAATGGTAACATAGTGATGACATAATGTTATGGAAGTAAAAAAATAGTCATTGGACAAATAAATGACTCAATTGTACTTGTTAACATTGAAACCCTCTTGCCCACAGCGCCCATCGATATGATATCCTAAGTCTCCTGTACATTTGTGAAAGTGACTTCCGAACACTGAGATCTGTGTCATTGATTTGCTCTTCTCACCTGGCGTCTTGTCCTCCACCCTGCTGGCTTCAGAAGGCATGGCGGCGGCGGCGGCCCCCCCACCCTCTGCTGCTGCTGCCTTGGAGGGTTTGGCCTCAGATTTACACGCTTCCTTCTCCGGAGGTTTCCTCTGGTTGAGCTGCAGCTGGCTGCTGAACTTCTCATGCTGACGGATGTGATAAGCCAAATTTTGTTTTATTGGATATTTAAGAACACTTGCATGTTGCATATCATTGAGGATACGTCCGGAATATTACTGCATCTCTTCCTCATTAAGATGAAATCCTATTCCTTTTCAGCTACCTGGGCAGTTTGCTGTGATGATTCTGAAGCTGCAGATTCATCACTCTATTATTAAAATATTTTTGCCTGGTTCAGCACAACGTTTTGCTCTCTAACTAAAATCCACTTCTTTCAGGGTTTTTTTTACACAGTGACGTAAAAATGTAAGGGCTTTCTGGCTGCACTGTTTTGAGCAGGTCTTTCACGCTGTTACTGTACATTGACACATGAACATGCATGAGGTGCTGTCTAACCTTGAGGGCCTCCTCCGGAATATGCATCTGTCCTCGAAGCACGGTGAACAGGTTGGTATGTGAGGCAGGTTAAGGTGAAAGAACTCTTTGCAGGGGTGAGAACCATGCACGGATAGCTTTATCTATTATGCAGCAGGCAGATTGCAATGAGCATTCACAGCTATTCAAGAGCAGATAAAGTTACAGTGTCGTCCGGGTCCACTGACCTTGTCCTGTGTGTCACCGGGATGGACACATACAAAAGATTCAAAGGATATCGTATCCAAACCTCAACTTGTCATCAACTTTCAGAGTGACGTAGATCTGCTCCTGTATTCTGACGTCATTGACAAATGTCTGTAGACAAAAACAGAAAGGGGTTATGTTAAGGACTGGGTACTGAATCACAACCAAATGTAAAAGTTTGGATCTCCTGCTTGGTCAGAATTCTGTATATTTTGCAATATGTTTGAATCATTGTTTTTTTATACTGTAATTTGGCAAAAGCAATGCCTGTTTGTGTTATGAGAGCATAAAGCTTATCCGTCCTTTTTTGGCAAATCGGACACAAGTTTTGTACTTTACTACATTGAAGATATTTGTTATATTATCATTTATTGTTTCTTTTTTTATTGTTTTTTTTTCACATCATGCTCTCTTTAGAGTATGACCCCCTGATTTTTCGTCTTACTGATTGATTATAATTTTTTTCTTTCACATTTGGTTTTGTCTAATTATTATCGTTTTTCTTTGGTAATCTTTTGTCTAATTCTCCTTTTATTTTACCATTGTCATTGAGAAACCCTGTTAATTTGTAACAGTTTTTTTTTTTGGGAGTGCAATGGAGGCTTCTAGCTTCCACATCACACTTGTGTAAATCACACATTGAACCATGAATGAGTGAGATTTACAGTGAGTAACGGGAAAACTACACCATATTGTGGAAACAGCCTTCTAGTGTCAGTGTACTATATTGAGATAAATGACATACAGTATGTAGAGATTCATACAGATTCTGGTTAAACATAGTGTGCCTCTTACTATTTCAGAGATTGCTTCTCTTTTATGCAGTAGGTAGATGAAGCTGTAAAACACAGGATAGTAGAAACATAAAACACTCACCCCGTTTAAGCTGCCCAGGTCCTTCACTTTATGCTCGTCTGCGTTGGGCTCATAGTTGATGACAGCGTGCTGCTTGTCCACACTGCGAGACTAAATCACACAAAATCCAGTCAATCACTGTCCACGCTAATCTCAGTGCTTCAGATAATAATCCAGCCTGGATGGAGATATGACAGCCTCACCTGCAGCATGAGCTCACAGTCGTCCCTCCCCACGAAGATCATCTCCCGGGGCAGGCGATGGCGCGTGCCCCCGCCGCTCACCAGGAACCAGGAAGTCAGACTCATCTCTGCCTCGCTAGCTCACCTTTGACCCTTAATGCATCCTGCTGGAGACAGGAACAGTTAGACGGCAGTCATCCATTTGTGAATAATGCTTTGATCGATACAATTACAAGTTCTTACAGGCGTGAAGGAGGCACGCTGCTTTATATAATCAAAGTAAATAAACATACTGTGTGCATGTGTCATATCATGTACTGTAGCTATTTTGGGAACCACCTGAGGACACTGACACATCTCTGTGTGGAGAGCAGCAAACAACATGAAAGAACAACTTTAGGTGTATAAAAGCGAGACACTGTTTGAAGATTTTAGATATCCTAATACATTTCATACGGCTGCTCCTTCTTAGTAGATAAATCGACTAATTTGTCGGTTTGGCTTACACAGGGATTTTAGCCTTTGCAGACCATTTTCATGCACAAAAAAGGAGAGGGATAACCCCCAAAAGCATAATAGGGCCCCTTTAAAGCACAAGTTATTCTCTTTGTGGATGGACTCATTCTTACAGATCAATCAATAAAATCTTGTCAGTGTACGTCAAATAAAGATGCTGTATTAAAGTGGAGTGGGGTAAAGGTCAGAAAGGCATCCATGCAGATTGAATTTACGGCACATGTGCATTAGGACAGCTATTTTAATTGGATGCTGGAAGTCTGTATGAGCTCACAATGGCCAAAAGGAGACAGGAAGTGGGGGAGAAATAGACATTAAAGACAAAGACAGCAATACACATCTCTGCTTCCCATGATGCTCTCTCATATGATTGTCAGACAACAGCTCTTTTCTCTGAGGCAACAGCCGGTCCTCCCTCTGCAGGAGCACCATCAGGCCCTGCTGACTCACGCTCTGAATGGATAGGTGAGTATGTTATTGGGATGTAATTACGCACACGTTGTCATATCTGGGGCTCATTTTTGTGCATCAACTCGATCCCAATGGGACCTGACAGCCCCCCCACCCCCTTCTGGTCATGTTAACCCTTTCAGTGGCGTGGCTTCTAGTGGCCCATGTTTCCCTTTTAGACGCTTGACCACACACGAATATACAGCTATAAATCGGCAAATGACAACACGCCAAGCGTGCATGAATGGGTTACAGTCGGCCAATGACAAGCCTGCAAATTAGCCCAGTTAGGCCCAGCGCTTATCATGGAGCCGTATCATATCGAAACCGTCCCAGAAATACATAACGCCTTAGAATAATATTATACAAAGACACCGCACATAATGATATTCATAAATGTATATCGACACTTTGTCTGCCTTTAATTCTTATTACCGACTAAAGCCTATCGATCCTTGGCGTTCACTGTCATGTCCGTGTGCTCTTTAAGCCCAATAGAGGCTAATTTAGACAGATTCACGACAACACTTATCACGTGTTATTGTAAATCAGGTTATAGAGGCTGTTTGTGCAGCCGAGGCTCCCCGGTTATGGACGACGGATAGAGCCTAATAAGGCTTGTCGCACAAACACAGCGATGCTCTTTGTGAAGCGTCTCCATCCATCCTTAAACAGCTGAGTGCATCGCAGGAAAACAAACAAACGGAGGATTAGACATGTCACTCACCAGGTGCGGCTCCACGGACGATCAGCATCCGATGTGTGGAGGGTTATGGAGAGCTGCTGCTGATCCTCACCCCGCCGCCCAGCCCTGCTCTGCGGCAGACCCGTGTCTTGGCCTCACGGTGGCGCTGTGCGCTCACATAGGAGGAGATCGGGAGGTTATGTAATACTGACAGCAAACTGTGAGTGGCCCATATTTGATGAGTAATGCTTGGTTTTGGAGAATGCAGTGATTTTGCCAAACACATATAGACTGATAAGAATTTCCCAGCTAACGAGGGCTAATTATGTCAATTAACCTTAGCAGAGGTGGGAAGTAAAGTACATTTACTACATTTTGAGTAATACTTATATTTACTTGAGTATTTCCATTTCCTGCTGCTTTGTACTTCTACTCCACGACAATTCAGAGGTAAATCATGTAGCCTACTTTTATTCACAATCTACCCTGCAGTATACAAAGTCATTCAAACGAGCTGCACCTTTACCATCTTTGATAACACTTTAATGATCAATAATTATAATGAAAACATATAAATATATTTTTCTGAAATGGACCAATCTGCATAATGCCTACTTTTACTTTTGGGTACTTTAAGTATATTTTGATGCCAATACTTTTGTAATTTTACTTGAGTAACATTTTGTATTCTGGACTTTTACTTGTAAAAGAGTATTCCTACTCTTTGGTACTTTTTTGTGTGTAATTGTTTTATGTCTTTTACATATGTATGTTGCCAGGCTTGGGGAGTTTCAGGATTACAGCAAAAAAGTAACTATATTCCCTTACAGTTACATTGAAAAAGACTTAGTCAGACTACTGTTACATTTCTAAAAATGGGGGATTACTAGCAGGATTATAATGTTATTAGAAACCTAAAAAGATCATAGTGTGTTTGTTGTAACAGGATCAGATCTGTAAGAGTGAAACTATACTCCTGCTGCCTGAATGTGCTTAATGAAAGGCAAGTTTACCTTACTTTTTTATACTAAATATCTTCTTTTCTACGGTCACATTGTTCAGTTGTCTTACAATTAAATGATACACATCTCATTGATATTCATTTTCTCTTGTTTTTATTTGGATTGCATTTGATATTTAGGAAAGTAACCAGGTTACATTGCTTTTATATTATGATATTCAGATTAGGTTACTGATTAAACATTTTTACAGGTAACTAGTAATTGTAACGGATAACATCTTTAAAGTAAGCCTCCCGACCTTGCTCATATTTGATGAGTAATGCTGGGTTTTGGAGAATTCAGTGAATAATAATAATGGCCTCATATGGTATAGATCAAAGTATTTCTTAGCTAATGAGGTCAATATGTCTTGTAAAATAATCTTAATCTCACAATGTTATAGCTACTCGGTTTTGTCTTGCACTATTTTTTTTGTTTGATTATTTTGTCTTGTCCATGTCTTATATATTTATAATGCATTGTTGGAAGAGCCTGGGACATTTGCATTGCCATTACACTCTAGCTACTGTGAATAGGACAATAAAGCTTTTGAATCTTGAATCTTTTAATCTATGATAATCCAGAAAATGGTGCTCGAAAAAAACAGGGTCTTTTTTCTACTAATTGCACTATTCAGCATTTTTTCTGTTTTGACGATCACTACTTCAGTTCTTCATTGTTTATTACAAGACTTGACATGACTCAGCTTCAAAAACAACAACAAATGAACCAGGAAGTCAGATCCATTTCTGATTCGCTAACTCACTATTGACCCTTAATGCATCCTGCTTGAGACAGTTCGACAGTTAGACGGCAGTTATCCATCTCTGAATCATGGTTTTATCTATTGTTGAATTTCTTAGCTACTTTTTGATGAGGGCTGATTCTGCCTAATAATCTTAGAGATAATATTTGTTATAATAATAATCCAGATTATTACTCTCTTGAATATCTGATTTATCTCATTATTCTATATGTGTGTTTTGTTTTTACAATCACTACGTTTTCCCCTTTGTCTATCACTGAATTGTCTATTATTCAGTTTATTAAACAACAAAGAAGTAAAAACCTTGGGAAAATTATAGATTTTATTTTGTTTCAATTGGTATATATATGTGTAATTCACATTATAATATTCTCATTTTATGTTCTCCTTTTATAATTATATAACGCATTTCTGTTTTGTATGTGCTGCTATTGTTGACCTCATTCGTTGTGAATTATCCTTTTATAGATTGTTTATACATTACTAAGCATGAACATGCACTTTATGATGGTAAAATATAGAAAGTCTTATTGTTATTATAAAAAACGTTTAGATTTTAATAAAATGCTTTTTCTGTAGTTTTATTGACAGTATGGTATTAAGTATTTAAACATAATATTGTTTTTGGCTAAAATATTCTCCTATAACAACACTAGATGGCGCCAAAGTATTGAGCTGGGAAGTGAAGATCTTGGAAGAGGCTTTATAAGCAACAACCTAAATTGTTAAAACTCACCCTAAAACATACATTTTCCATGATATTAATTAGAATTTCAACAAATCCTGACTTTTTCATGTTAATCATAGGGATACCACTGTGACTCAAATGTTATCGGTTATGAATTTGTCAAAATAAGTTTGTGGTATGTTTCCAAACCTGAAGAAATAAAATCATTTTGTTAAGGTTATTTTTGGTTGTTTGCGTAGTTTATATAACTCTAACAACATGGTCCATATGAGCCATACATAATCTACTATCTGACATTCATTGTTTGCGCTAAATACCCCTGTTGAGGTTCCATTACACAGGAGTTATTAGCCTATCGTTTAGAGTGCAGCCACCCTTCATTGGTGCATTAATCCTCAGTGGGGTCCCTGAAGGATAAAAACATCATGCTTTGTGGTATGCAAACAAATAAAACACATTCACGACAGCAGTGGAATTGCAAGAAATATTCACATATCTTTGTTATAATTAGTTTACTCTTTAAGTTATAAATGTCACATCATTTGCCTGGTTGCATGTGATTGTAAATCCAGAAGACTTTACTGACTGCTCCTGTAAGGCTATACAAATCAGAACAAAACTATAAAAAACTAAACCGGATATGATAAATAGTTTGATACAAATTCTACACATAATACCCCAATATTATTACATATCCAGCAGTGTGTTTTCTCCCTCATGCCCCCATAAGGCTATAGAGTGAACTTAAGGAATAGCGTTGTGCTCAGATCAGAAATGTGTCTGCTTATCCATCCATAAAGACTGTCTGATATAAAAACATAAAGATAAGCAGAGGAAACCAATCAGTGTTTCACTTTGAATATAGAGTAAGGTGTATTGTTTATGCATAGATAACTGATTCAACACTGTGTTAAAGGAGTTACATCATTATATGTTAGCCTTTAAATCAAAATGCATCGGAGGCTGCAGGCTAAAATCCAGTTTTTTGGTACATTATTTATTAGTAGATACTTATATTTTATTAATATTAATTTGATCTTCTTATCTCCCTCTCTTGCATTAAGGAAACCAATTGTTTACAATTGCATTGTGTTCAAATAACAAAGTAAGTAGATCCTCTCTCTAACATATAGAGACACTGTTTGGTTCTCTTATAGAAAATGTGTTCAGATATCCATTAATCGATTGACTAAATAAATGATTGTTTAATAGTTTGACAATCTATTAATGTTTTGAATTTATAAAGGTAATTTTGAAGGCAGAAATGTGTCTGAAATGATTTTTCCAGCCTCTAAAATATGGAAATGTCCTGTTTTCATCACTTGTATATCCCATTAAACTGAGAATATTTAGGTTTTAATTACTGGCATAGACATATTTTGGAAAATAAAGATAAATACTTGCAGCCCTAAATCGCTTATATAGAAAGCTTTGATCTCACAAATTAAACACAGTTTACAACAAATAAAAACATTGGAATTAAAGGGTCTCTTCCTGTCAGATCAATAAATAATAATACAAATAATTTAAATACTTTATGTAATCATTTTTGATAAAATTGAAAACATATTAATATTAGATATTTGTTGGGTCTTTATTGAGCAAGGACCATGCATAACAATGCATACATCTCAAAGAGGGAAAAGATGCTTGTGCCATATTATAGCTACAATCTGCTCTCCATCTGCAGTCAGGTTCACACGTAACAATCGACAAACACAAATATTTCCTGGTGCCTATCAAACTAACAATTAAACATATCAAAATACAGCTGTCAATAGTATAAATATTAGCACATATCAGTACAACTTTATTGTTACAATTCCTTTAAAATATTCAAATTAATGTTGGTCAGGTTGCTCTATTTACATTTTTTTAACCATGGGAAACACTTAATCCACGGGAAACACTTGACCACCAGAAATGTATCCCAGCCTGAAAATAAGAATAAACTATATTAAATATGTGTCAGTAAAGCTGGGTTGATCCTCCTTTGCTCCACGAGCTTTCTGCTGCTCCTGTACTTCCTCCAATCTCTCTCTCTCCCCCCTCTCTCGCTCTCCCTCTCTCCCTTAGCCCAGCCCCCTTGATCCCCTCTGTCCATTGGTGTCTCCGGGGTCTCTCCTCTCTCTCTCTTCCCCCTCCTTCCATAGGTAGTCCATAATGAGTGTCCATTGGTTTTTATTACGCCTTGTCCCCCTCCCACTGGCCGGCTTTGCCCTGCCCATGTTTTCTCTGTCTCAGTCCGTCCATCTCCTGACGTTCAAGTTCGCAGGAACGTCACGTCCGCACTTGAACTTGCAGCTCAGGGGGGTATCGCCGTACCCCCATCACTCTCTCTTTGCAAAAAAGTCATGAAGAGGTCCGCACAGCAGCCCGTAGCGCGCAACGTCTCACCCTCTGTGTGATCTGCAGTTCATCTTTTCTTTTCCTTTTCTTTTTTTTCCTCCTATTTGGATGTCAGACGCATCAATGAAGATATTTCATTTGGAGTCTACCTTTGTAGGGACGGATTTCCCAATGTGAACTCAGCTGAAAAGCCACCACTAAAGCAACATGTCTCGCCGAAAGCAAGGCAAACCCCAGCACTTGAGCAAACGGGAGTTTTCGCGTAAGTGGACATTCATTTTGACTTAATTTAGCTGTTAGCGAGCCACCTCTTGTTTTCCTTGCACAGGGCAACTTCCTCGGGGGAATTTGAATAGGTGGTCCGGACACACAGACACACACACCGCTGTCCGGAGTGAAATGTCCAAAACATATTTGAAATAGATTTCGGGATCATCTGGTGGAAGTTTTCAAACAACGTGACAGAGAGCTTTAACTTGTGTTGGTTTACCGTGTTGTATAACGCTGCCTTCAAGGTTTCTTTCGCCATTAAAGGGCATGCATGGGCTTTATGGCCAGAGACCTTTGCCTATACGGACGCAGCGCGAGCCTGCTGCTGCCGTTCCTCCTGCAAGTTTTCAGCTGAAGCACGAGAAGCGATTCCACCACATCAACGCACGTTTGTCTGTTGCTAGTTAGGATGTATTTGGAGAGGTTAGAGCTGCTTTGGACACAGGAAAGTGGTGTTTACATGCCCACTTGTCCACATAGCAGCGGTTACCTCGTGTGCGTAATACACGGAATATAGTTTATGTGTCACAATTCCGCACATCTGCTGCTTGTTTTTAACGCCGCAGTTTATTGTTGTTATATGTTAAATCCACCTGAATGTCCGTGCGCGATATTGTTTTGCAACTATGTGGAGAGGAAATCAGGGAAGTGGATTTTACGCGCGTGTGTGATAACATTGCAGGGCATCAATTGCTTGACAGGATCTTATATTTGCCGGATAATTATTTCCCACAACACCTCTGTTATTCAGCAGGAACTGCTCAGTTCACATAATACTATCACACTAACGAGACGTCTCCAAAAATATTTAAAGTTAAGTGGAGATCAGGAGCTCCTGTGTTCATTTTCTCCCTAATTATTTTTGTCGTAAATGTGTATCTGCATGCTGTTTTCCCATTTCGATGGAAACCAATTATGCTCTCGCAACATGCATGCCTTCATTTGAGGGGGGTAATTGTCAAAAGGTTTGCCAGTGGGGGGCGCAATGTGATTGTAGTCCTGTGTACAGTCCACTATGAACTTGAACTTGATCCACTTTATCCCTGTGATGCTGCTTGACCAAGCACATGCAGAGCATCGTTTTAGCAGAAATAAGTGCTTTTTATATTTTATATAGCTTGTAATTCTCGTCTGTGTTGTAGGTGGAACCTAAATTATATTAGAAGGGGATGCACGCAAACAGTGTTTAAAGCCCAGCAGTTGTGTTTCTATTAAAAAAAATCTACAAATGAACACAGATATATAGAATTGTATCAAGCCTTTATAATTTATATTTGAAGCTCTAACCCATATCGTTTGAGTTCTTCATTTTTGCGTACAAATATACATATTTTTACAACAAAACACTTGAGACAACATTTACATAATCTTGCTTTTGGGCAATGTTGCGCTGTGACAAAGCAAAGGAATACTTTATTATATGTCTAACCCTAACCCATTAAGTGAAAATGACAATGAAAGAAAAAATCCCTAAAATGAAACTATTACTCAGCTGTTATAACACGGAGCCATTCAAATCTAAAATGGCAAAACAAGTAGGCCTAATCATTTTCCTGATAGTGAAACAGACCCACTCCAGTGGGACACCTAAACTGCTTTAAATTCAAGTCAAATGTCTGCAAAACATGATTATATTTATAGTTTTCAAAGTTATTCACATCACTCTGGCGTTGCATCAAAATGAGATGATTTGGTTTGAAGAAAATCTTTCCACTTCACCCAGCCTCACACACCCGGGCCTATATTTCCGTGGCATAAGCTGGTTAAGATAAGCCTGAGTAAAAAGGGGCAAACATTCGCTCCTCTTTAATGCAGCCAAACATACAGGTAACAGGGCCTATCCTGCGTAGTCCCTCGCCACCTTCTCGTCTGACCCAACACGGAATTAAAGGTTGAATTAGGCGGCGAGAATTCATCACATCTTATCTCAACATCCCAGTCGGGGCGCCCAATGTCCTTTACCGTGTGGCTAGATTACTTCTTTTAAAATGCTCTCTTTTCTCTCTTCTCTCTCTCTGCCGGTACTTCAGGGACCTACTCCACATCCAACCCCTCAATGTCTAACCTTGGTTCACGAGATCCCAGCACTTTTAACGAAATGGGGTCCAATCATCTTGAACTCAAATTAGAATCTATTTTTTGATTCTCAGAGGTGTTAGGTTCATTAAAAACGCGAGATTGGCAGCACAATAAAGAGGGTCAAGCAACTTAATCGTTTGGCTGCTGCCTGCGAGCTGAATATGTCAGTCCTTATCGAAGTACTGCTGTCTTTCTTCTTCTCTAATACTTTTACACAACCTGACCTGATTCCTGTAGATGTCTTAAGACATTATAGCAATGTACTATTCGTTTGCCTCTCCTGACACATGTGTTTACCAGCTCTCTCTGAACCATATCTCACAATGTTCTCTTTTATTTCTCCGTGCAGCTGAGCCACTGTCAGGTGTTTTACTGGAGGAAGACTCTCAGAACTCCCCCAGGCTGGGTTTGGGTCAGGGTGAGCCCCTTAAAGGGGACCAGGACCTGCTGACCTGCGGCCAGTGCCACTCCCGCTTCCCCCTGGCTGACATCCTGCTGTTCATCGAACACAAACGGAGGCAGTGCCACGGGAGCCTCTGTATGGACAAACCTCTGGACAGGCCTCCCTCCTCCCCCCTCGCATCACCCCTTTCCACGTCCTCCTTGCACTCGCGCACCCACCATCAGCACCCACGGAGGGCGCGTCCCCACCTGGGTGTGGCATCGCCCCGGGACGAGGATTGTTTATCTGCACCCTTGCAAGGAATAATCCCAAAGCAGGAGAATATCACAGGTAAACACAGTGTGCGCTTAACATGGCTGGCATCAAACAAGAAATGTCTAATGGTGTGGGATTGGTCACACTCCCTAAAGTTCATAAAGAGTTTATTTCAAAAGGGAACAACTGCTTTCTCTGATTCCCTTTGGTGTTTTCTTTGCGTCTGGTAGTAGGGCTGCATCCCATCTGCATAACCAGAGTGTGAAATATCTGCCGCTGCACTAAAGAGCTGTGAATCTCCTTCAGCTGCGCGTGAACCCACATGAACAGCAGCCCAAGCTGAAAATGATTGTGAGAAACATTTAGCACATATTGAAAAAGACACACACAGACAAAGAAACAGATTAGGGAAGAGAGGGAGAGAGAAAAAAAAGATTTCTCTTGGTGTGTTTCTGCCTCACAGATGTGCTCAGATCCCTGGGCCTCCACGCTCTCTCATGTGGCGGTGAGAGATGTATCTCTATCCCTCCCTGGCTTATTACACCGCCATATCTCCCGTTCCCTCAAATATGCGTGGCTCAGTCCGTTGCTAAAATTAAAAAGAGATAGAAAGGAATGTAATTACGCCGAAGTGTCAAGGAAGAAGCGTTTATTTGAGGAACCCCGCAGCCACTAATTGTCAGTATTTTTCTTGATTTGAGTAATTAAGGACTTCTTAAGGCGGCTGGTCGGTTTGTTGTTTGTCCACCGGGGCTGAATGACGCTGTAGAGAAAACATGAGGCCCTGTGCAAACAAGCGTGGATCCCTTATGACCGGCCTTACAGAGAGGAGTTTGATTTCACACCGCCCTTTTCGAGTGTTTATTCATTTCTTTTTAACAGAGGCGATATCGTGTGTCAGATTTTGGATTTATTGTCTGTGCAGATTTAATTTAAAACCAATTGAGGCTAAATGCACGGAGGGCAGCACTCAATAATGTGCACTACTGTACTGTATCAGTCTGTGCTGAAGCTTTGTAAAGGGACCACTGTTATCTGTTGTTGGGCCTCTCACACACAGAATGACCACTGTTCATTAGTGTGCAGTTTGTTAAACATCTGCCTGCCCTGCGTATGAGCACACACACACACACACACACACACACACACACACACACACACACACACACACACACACACAGAATGACCACTGTTCATTAGTGTGCAGTTTGTTAAACATCTGCCTGCCCTGCGTATGAGCACAGACACACACACACACACACACACACACACACACACACACACACACACACACACACACACACACACAGATATGCCCGCGCACACGCAAACACACACACACACACACACACACACACACACACACACACACACACACACACATACATATCCAAAATGCCTCTTGGCCATGTCAGCTGTTTGAACATGCTTTTCTTTGCTGATTTAGATCATCATGCAGCGGAGTTCACATAATATCATAAGGTCACTAGCATTGTGAGCACAGCTTTATTTATAGGCTTTATGTCTCTTTAGGATTGGCTGCGTGCCGTAATGAATGGATTCATTTGGGTGGACGTGGAGTGAGGCCGTGTCCTGTTGGGACATCTCACCTGACTGGGTTATTGTAACACACATTTCCTCGTTTAAAACATTAGACAAAGAAAACATGAGAGAAAGCAAGATTAAGATGATTCTTATTTTCTAAGATTCTGAATCGATTCACAATTTCAAAAAATCTACTTTTTACCTATTTAGATATTGCTACTGTAATCTTTCACAACAACCATTAGTGTGCGATTTTTGAAAGAATCAACACAAAATACCAGTTTTATAGTTTACCGTTTAAAAAAAAAATTCTTTCTAAGTTTCTTTACATGACGGTATGAATTGAGAAAATCCCAAAACCTTTTAGTAAAAGTTTTTATTTTTGTTACCTTTTGTCTTCGTTTCCTTAGGTGAACACACCTTTTTAAATACAAATAAAAACCTCATAATACTATAAACAGTTTGCTTTCCATAGGTTGTATTTTTTCAGTTAATCTACTAAATCAAGAATTTAGAATGAGAATCAAAATTGAACACAGAGTGTAAAGGAAAAAGGTTAAACCTGCAACGTATTTGGCTAAAAAAGACCATAGAGCTACACTTCAGGATGTACCTCACATCAAGCACATAAACATAAACTCCAGCCCCCCCCACCTCTGCGTTCTGTGTCACAGATTGATGAATATAGACTGGCAGTGCCAGCGCACCACCCCATGCTCCATATGCTAGCTGCCATGTTCTCTCACCCTGCTCAGTCAGACGCTGACACTGAGATGAGGCATCTGAACACATACTGTCCCTGCACACACTGGCTTCATGTCCAGTTTATTCCAGGCCAGTGTATTATATGTTCCACCCTTAAAGATTTACTGTATCCCGCTGCACTGCATATACACTCAAATGAATGTGACCCTTCCACTCCCCCACCCTCCTCCTGAAATGTCATTTGGCTCAGATTGATTTCTGTGTGGACAGCAGCGTACACAGACAAGGGCCTTGGCCAGGTTTAGGATTGCTAACTATGATTATTTGATTGATCTTCTGGTCCTTAAAATGTCATGAAATAGGATAAAATGTAAATCCAAGTTTCTCAAAATCCTTGTTTGGTCAGTCCAAAATGTATAGATATTCAGTTAAAATGACAGAAAAAGCAGGATTTTTTTGCATAAAAGATAACTTTCATTAATTACTTTCAATCGATTAATGGGTTATCTAAATGGATGCAATTCATTTTCTGTTCTGGCGTTATTGATTGGTCTACTAATGGTCTCAGTTAGTGAAGAAGCTGCTGGACTAAAGGGGTTGACATCCAGTATGGCTGTACTCAAGAAGTGTTGGCGGTCTGGGGGTTGGGGGGTGGGGGTTGTCTGTAATACTCCCAGAGCTGGAGATGAGGACGTGCCTCTCGGTCTCCGTCTTTGGGACAGCTGAGGTCGTCTGGGAGTCTCATGGCTGCAGCTGGGGCTGGGGTCTGCTGTCTGGAGCGGTGGGCCGTTAGGAGAGGGCAGAGCCGCCTGCGTGCCATCATTTGCATGATAAACAATTTAAGATATGCATAGGGACACCATCGCTTGTCTCCAGATTATGGATGGCCCAGAAAAAGAGCAGATGACGGTTTCTCACACAAACTACGTGACTGCGGTGTGGTGTAAAAGTGGATTTATGTCACGGGATATAATCACTATTAAGAAGGCGTTCTGGTGGAGTGGATTCATAGTTTTTATTTACATTCATTATCCCACTCACTGAACTGCTATCAGTGCAATGAATGATTGTTTGCTCTTCTTGAGTAATTGGAGCAAGATGCCTCTCATTGTTATGATTTAAGATGCATTGTGTAGACTTTATCATGTCCCTAATTATAACTTTTTCACATTTTCTTGTCTTTACTTTCCACATTCTCGTTTTGCTACATTACTCTGTGCTGTATATAAACATGCCAGCATTAGCACCCCTTGCATTGTCGCCAGTGTAGCCATGTGTGTTAATGAGGCCATTGTATTCACTCAAATCGACCACTATCTCACACTTCTGTCTCCTTTCCAGCACGCTGCCTCTATTGTAACCTGGACTCTGAATCAATACTGAGTTAATTATGGCAGCCACCTATTCTGCCTTTTTTCTCTACGAGGAGGAAAACATTGGAACAGCCCGAGCGGCATTTCTCGTAACACCTCAGTGTGGCTGTTCTGTGTCTTCATGCAGCAGCTTGCCTGTCCTGTTTGTCCCTGTGTGTTGTGGAGACAAAGGTATTTAGCAGGCTCTGCGTTGGCACCGTGCCACCTTTCTCCAACCCCCCTCTCCATTCCCTCATAAGCACACACATGTACTCACTGGGTATCTGTCAGGCAGAACTGGGGGGCTGGGCAGACCATGGGGAGTGTGTGTGTGCGTGTGTGTGTGTGTGTGTGTGTGTGTGTGTGTGTGTGTGTGTGTGTGTGTGTGTGTGTGTGTGTGTGTGTGTGTGTGAGGGAGGGAGGTAGAAGGAGGTGTGTTAAAGCAATGTTTTGTGGGTTTAGGAAGCAAGACTTATGGTGAGGTGGCTGCTATGTGTGTGACTGACAGTGGGAGTGTATGTGTGTGTGTACTTAAGGGTAGGTATGTGTGTGTGCTGTCCTCAGGGCTCCTGGCTCGGGCTTCCTGTGTCTCTGTTTGTCTTCTAACAACCTCGGTACCACAGCCTCAGGCCATTCAGGTGGAGGCTAGTGCAAGTATGCAATACACACACAAACATGCACACAAAAAGAGGCAAATGCATGCACCTGAACACAAATGTACACACACACACACACACACACACACACACACACACACACACACACACACACACACACACACACACACACACACACACACACACACACACACACGTCCGTTTTTTGGATACAACAATGCCCCCAATACAGTGTGCACCCCCTCCTGTCAACCTATGTTTTGTCTGTAATAAATGTGTTGTGGCAGAGGCCCATGATGTGTTGTGAGTTGATGAGATCTGTCAGAAACATATGATACTTATTTCAGCCCCCTCCCCTCCGTTTCCCCCCTGTCTCTGTCTCTTCTTTCCTTTTCTGTATCTCTCCCTCTCCGTCTCACTCAAACTCTCTCCCCCCTCGCATCGTTCCAGTAGTTTGTCTCGAGGGATTGTAAACTTTTGGCAACATTAGCGTGTCTGCACCTTCCAACTTCCACTCATTCTCAGTCTCACAGATTTGGCTGCAGAGCAAGACACACAAACACATACATTTTCTGCTTCCCTCAATCCCCTTTACCTACTGTCAAACGAAGCCATACAACAGAAACAACCTTGTTTGTCCAAGACAGCATCACGCAGGATGAAAAAATCTTCCTCAGAAATAAGCGTGTCTTGCCGCTGTCTTGTCAATAGCGTGGCAGGCAGTCACATCGCAGGGTCGGGGGTCACCTGACAGCGTCAGGGCCTGTCACGCCAGCCGCCGGCTTCACCACCTGCAGGTTAATGACTTTATTTTTAGATAGAACAGAAACAGAGAAGAAAAAGTGTATGTGATAAC